TAGACTGTAACATCATCTTTACCAACCTCCATTTTAAAAAACAGAGCATTACATATTGACTTCTCCAGAACATTCCAGTCATCCATAGCTCAAGCTAACCATTGCATTAGCTTCTTGGAAACTTGAGGAAGCTAACCAAATCATCACAGTAATTTGAATCAAGCTTTAATTCAAAACATGATCTCCAGCTGCAAGGTAAGTTCTTCTAATTTTCATCTCATTATTTAGGCATTGCTAGACTTGCATTTTCAAAGACAAAATATAGATATCATTGCTCTGAAACTGTACATATCCATAGATTCCATTTATATGGCATGAGTAGAGAGAATTTTGGATCAGAGCTTCTTGAAAAAAGTTAGGGTTCAGATTAGGGCTAGCAAAATTCATGTTTGTTTCTGATTTATAGTTTTAATGATTTATAGTTCTGGAACCATGATGAAATTTTCCATAACTTTCACGTTTACATTTTCCATTTTGGTTGAGAAATGAATGAGTTGCAGATGCTCTAGCTGGCGCAAGGAAGAAGATGAAGTTCATCATCAGAACCGATTTTGTAATACATATTTATGGTTTTATTTATAATACCAGATGTATAGCCACCCTAGTGGTAGAGAGCGTGCGTGTAAGGCATTCATGTTAAGGGTCCTGGGTTCTAGCCCCAATATCACCTTTTGTTTTCATTTCTTAACATTTTACCCCATGAATCTGTTAACAACATGCCTGAGCCAGAACTTCTAGGTTGTCTCATCTTTGCTTCTAGCACCCCTTCCCATGAATCTGTTAACAAAACGCATGTGCCAAAACTTCTAGGATGTCTCATCTTTACTTCTAGCATCCCTCCCTATGAATCTATTAACAACATGCCTGTGCCAGAACTTCTAGGCTGTCTCATCTTTGCTTTTAGCATCCCTCCCCATGAATGTTAACAACATGCCTGTGCCAGAACTTCTAGTCCGTCTCATCTTTGCTTCTAGCATCCCTCCCCATGAATATGTTAACAACACGCATGGCCCAGAACTTCTAGGCTGTCTCATTTTTTTTCTTCCAGCATCACCCCTTGTTAACAGCACACCTGGGCCAGAACTTATAGGTTTCCTCATTTTACTTACAAGCACCCTTTCCACTTTCTAAATCCCCCTGACTTTAATTTTATATTTTTATTTTATTTTCTTTCTTTTATTATTTTAGTATCATTACTATTATTTTTATTATTAATCAAAAACACAAAAAATATTATATTAAGTATTTAAATTATTTAGTTTATTTTTATTTAACTTCTTAAAATAAAAAGACCAAAAACATTTTCCTATTTAATTTCTTTTCTTTAACTCAATATTAAACTTAGATTTAGTTCATTTTCTTTGTTTAAATTAAAATTAACTTAGTTCAATTCCCTTACTTCTAACTATTTATCTTCTTTTAGAAAATTAGGTTAAAATATTTTCTTAAACAAAATCAAAACAAATTCATTTTCTTTTCATTCATGTCTTGTACACTATATACATTTCAATTGTTGTACATTATTCAAAGTTCAATATGGTTGTAATAGATAATTAGTTCTAATTTCTTGCAATTCCTATTTGTACATTTGTATCCCATATTCCCCAAAAATGATGTAATAACGTAAGATATTTACTTTCCGCAATTTATTGTTTTCATATAAATGCTAGTTAATTTAGGATTTGTATGGAAATATAAAATCAATGCTTAGAAAATCCTAATCCAAGATAAACCAAGCATGAAATACAAACACTTGCACACTTTGCACCTCTAGGGTCTACTCCACTTTGTTGCCTTAAAAATGGTCATGTCATGCATGTGAGACACCTTAGAAAAGAACAATAAAAAATACAAGATCATAGTCCCTCGATGACGCTTTGAATGTTGCCTTACAAATGATCTTAGACCCTTAAGAAATATGATAAGGTATCTCACAACATTGCATCTTATGACTATACGATAACCCACACCCGTCCCTTTACATCCAAAGATAAGGTTACTTACCAATCAATGGTGAGGTAGCAATGTCAAAGGAAGAGAGAAATGAACAAAAGACTTTTGAGTAAGTAGAACGTTCTTAGTTGCTTGCTCACAATCCATCTTCAAAAACAAACATATTTTTAAACACACTAAACCCTTTCAAAAAAACATGAAATATTTTCAAAAAGTCCAACACTTTGTATGCATTCTTATAGAGACGAGAATCATTACAAAGTTTGCCTAAACGAAGACGCTTTTCAAAAATAATTTCAAAATCCACCACAAACACATTTCAAACAAAGCAATTTCAAAAGTGATATAGCAAGCAACTAAGAGCCCATAAATAACTATGGATGAAAAGGGTGCTAACACCTTCCCTTTTCATAACCTACCCCTCGAACTCAAGAAAATATCTCAAAGGTCCTTCCTCTTCTTTTTACCCTTTCCTTATTGGATAAAAGAAAAGTTGGTGGCGACTCTTGCTATCCGCAACAATTGCGATCAAACGCAAAACAACCAAGTCAGTTCTCCCACCGTATTACACCTCTTTTCTTCTTTGCTCTGTAACTTCTACGTTCTTTCTCTCTTCCAACCCTTATTCCTCTTCTTCTTGACAAAAACCTATTTTTCTATTATTACTAAACTTAATAATAATAGTATTATTTCTATTGGGCTCATTTAACACACCCCCGCTTTACTACATACCACCATATAAAATAGGCCCACGCGGATATTCTATTAATTCCAACATTATTATTATTATTAATCAACTAATTAATTAATTAATAATAATCTAACAACTAATATAAAAATCTTCAACATTTCACAACTTCAACAAATAACTTGGAAATAATTTAATTAAATAATTAATTAAATAAACAGGTGTTACAGGGAGCGCATAAACAAAACATGTTCCCTGCAAACACAACCGCTCAACAGGCACATGTTCCCCGCGAACACAAATGTCGAGCAGGCATACGTTCCCTGCGAACACTCCAACCTAGCAGTCATACATTCCCCGTGAATGCAAGACCAACCTAACTTCCTGTCGAAGCTCGCGAGCATAAAGAAGAGAGGCGGATCAAGTCTGTTATCCAAGAGATACTATTGTGTCCAAACAAAAACAGAAAATAGGGCATACTATCTCGAAAACCTGCATGGGGAACAACTTTCTCGACCTTGAAACACAAAAAACCTAAAACAAAATTATAGTTAAAATACTAAGCAGTCAGCGAGCTTCATCAACAAGACAGACTCATCCAGGTCCGACCTCGCGTGTGTGCCTAGGTACAAGCATAACACCCAAAATATTTTAAAGGGACGAGACTCCACTCTTTTAACGAGCGTGTCCTCAACCCGACATGGATAACTCGACGAACTCCATCATCCTCGTACCATGACGATAGAACACCGGACTCGCAACGGGAAGTTCACGCTGCCGAGTTCAGGTCCTCGAAATGAGACTTGAGTTCCGACTCATGCCCAATATTCACCCTGACCGTTTGTCCAGTTTCCCCATACTGGCGAACATACAAATCAAACGAGCAAATTCTCCTATAAACTCTTAGCAAAATAAAATACGTCTCAGGAAGACGAGCATACAAACATGCATAAACATAATAAATAACAATGTTTCACGTACGAGCAAGTCCTCGTAAAGATCACGAAACGTACCCATCACGAACAACAAGTGCCAACAATGCGTTTTCCTCCTCGGCGCACGGGTTGACTCTAAGTCATCACTCCTGTGCCAAAAGCAATAAATTGGGGGGCTACTATTATGGTCTGGTCCAACGGCTAGAGTGGGTCCAATCCGACCTCCTTCTTAGAGTGGGCCCAGTGTGACCACGACCCAGGCTACCCCGCCCTCTGTCGGGCACCATCGATCATTTGTCCTCCTGAACCAACATCGACCTACGACAGCCGACGAGTGTCTCTCAATTTGCCCTACCTCAAGTCGGCCAGATAACCAGGAACCGACCAGTTCACTGCCCGTAACCTACCTCCTTCTCGGAACCAACAACTAGTTTACGGGCACACCTGCCCAGTTTGACCAAGTCTTGACAGTTACCTATTTTTGCAGACCCGTATATCTAGGCCCAAAAATAGGGACCAATGGTCAAACGCTAAGGGCACTATATAAACCCTCACTAATGTGAGAGTCAGGTATCGAATATTCACTATTCACCACTAAAACCCTAATACATTGCTTGTATCTCTTTGCTCCCACACTTACTTATCGTCGGAGTGCCTTGCAGGTACAACCTTCTTTTTTCCTCCTCGACATTCCATCCCGATAGAAGATCATCATCCAACCACCTTGTAGGTTCTATCAAGTGGTAAGATCAAAAGTCATATCCATATCCATTAATAAACAAATATTTAAATATTCATTTATTTTATCCGCAGACATCCACGCCTGTTAATATTTTTGCCATCCCTAATATTGATGAAAAAGTCTCACTATAGTTTGAAGGACCTTTCTTTAACATCTTTATTAATTAACTTATAATACTATTTATATTAATACACAATTATTATAAGATTCTATATACATATATTTTGAGTGATATTTTAAAATGGATAGAAAAGACTCATACAATCTAATTGATTCAAATTAAAAATTCAATGTTATTTTTTTATTTTAATATTAAGTGACCAAATTAAAAGGAAAAAAATTAAGTCAAATTATATGGCTTATAAATATCAAATTAAAAACTATAATTAATATGAATTATTAATAGATTAATAGTTAATAATTATATATTTTTACCAAAAAAAAACCATTTTTATTTGTTTACATTTGACAAAGGTTAAAAAAAATCCAAAAAATAAACTACTACTACTACTACCCTAGTACACCCCATATATAAAGTTTGAAGGGTGTAAAAAGAAGAACCATTTCAAATTCTCACTAGTGCTTAATCGCAACGTTCCCCTAAAATTCAAAACCCCAGCATTTCCGCCATTTCGTGCTACACTAGTCGCCATTTTGTGCTACACTAGTCGCCATTTTCGCCATGTCTACAACGAAAATGAACAGCACCGCCAAATCGTGCCCTCTCACCGTCACCGTTCGCCGGAACCCTCCCCGGAGAGCTCGTGCTACTCCTTCACACGGAATCACGCCGTTTCCCAATGAAGAAATTTTGTCTGAGCAGATATCAAAATTTCCAGCAGCAACGTTAGAGGATGATGAGATTCTGAAAAATCCATCAACAATCGAGAGTGAGAATCTGATAAATCCACCAACATCAGAGACCGAGAATCTGATAATTCCATTGGAGAATGAGAATCTGAAAGTGTTTCTCAGAATCCGTCCATCTCAACCTCCAAATCAAGCTCCGCGCGTGAAAACCAAAGCCGCGTGGCCGAAAACTCAAACGAAGAATGTAACTAACAATTCGAAGAAGAAAAGCTCCTCTTCGTGTATATCCATTAACGATTCACAGTCAGTGACGTTATTAGTTCCATCGGATTTGCAAGACGCGAAGAGAGTGAAATCGGAAACATACGGTGGTTTTACTCACGTGTTTCCTTCCAATTCATCTCAGGTAGTGTGATAACGTTTCTTTATCGTTTTTGCGTCGTTCACGGTTTTTTCACTTTCAGTTTCAGCTTACAATGTGATGTAATTGTTTGTTTCAGTTGGAAGTTTACGAGAGAATGGTGAAACCTATGGTGGATGAGTTTACCAAGGGTAAAAGTGGAATGTTGGCTGCTTTAGGTCCCAGTGGGTCTGGGAAGACTCACACGGTTTTCGGAACCCCGAGGGATCCTGGAATGGTGCCTCTTGTCCTGCGACATATTTTCAAGGAGACTGAGGCTTCTAGGTATTCTTGTGCATTTCAATTCACCTTTGTACATATATACGTATGCTGTGTTAGATGGATGTATGCATCAGACTTCAAGTTTTGCTTAGTTCATTGGGTGCACTTTATCTGTTTTAGTATGTTGCATTAACATTTTCAAAATCTTGTGTCAAGTAGTGTAAATTAGCTCTTAGCTTCCGAGAGCTTCTAAGTTAATATAATTAATGTTTCCTCACACATGAAAGTCTTTTACAAGTTTATGGATGTTTATAGACTGTAGAGTACTCAAACTAAAAGAGTTTCTAGAAAATTTGATTAACAAATTTCATCTTATACGAGAATCCGTTTTTGAAAAACTCTAGTTAATGCTAGATTCTTTTGATAATTGATTTTCTTTAAGTGCTTTTTTAGTAAGTTTATCTAAACTAGTACTTCGTAAATCAAACGCACCACTAAGCTTATGATAAGCTGGTAGTGTTCTGTTATTACTTAGATTATACATTGTATTTGGATATGTTTTGTAGTCAGACCTTACATTTGAGTGTTTGTAAAGCTGATATAATTGATAAAATATGCTGGGTTATATATTTCTAGAAAGAGTTGCCGAGGGGTTACTCCTTCTACTTGAAGTTTAGGAAACATCGTTAATCGAGAAAATGTAACTCAAGTGATTTTTATATGTTTAACTGTTCTCAGTAATGACATGATCATGACAGCATAGTGATATTTGCAACTGTGTTTGATAAATTATTTATGTTGTTTAACTGAGTGAAATGTCAATTTCATTCCTTGGTATGGCTCACAGATCCTATTACATAGCTATATTTGAGATATATACTGAACGGGGAAAATCAGAAAAACTGTTTGATTTATTACCAGATGGCAGTGAACTAAGTATGCAGCAATCCACCATAAAAGGCCAGAAAGAGGTTTAATGCTAGATCTGTTTATTTCACTGGATTTTTATGATGATGTTGGTATTTTTTTTCACTTCCTGCATTTATGTAAACAGGTTCTCATCTCTAATGCTGAACAGGCAGAATCTTTGATAGCACAAGCTGTGATAAAACGTGCAACTGCAATGACAAATACCAACAGTCAGTCGAGGTGGGTTATAAAGTGGGAATTTATGAATCTTTTCCCCTTTCCTCAAAGGATAATCCTTTTGTTGGTTGCTTAATGGTTCTTCCAATAGAAAGTCTTAAATACTGTAATTATAGAAAGAAGTTGTTTGAAGTATGTGATGGGTTTTTTCGCTTGAGAGTACCTTTAATAATGAACTAACTAGGAAACCTGTGCTACAATGTAAATATATGTGGCATTTTTTAATAGCAGCATGTAAGTGTTTGTTCTGTATTTAGACGCTAGTTCTTGGTTTGCTACTGATAAAGGCTTCGTTTCTTCCAAAACATGGATAGAAAAGGTAAGTAAAAAGAGAAGAAATTATCGACCTTGATATGCAGCTAAGCGTATTTTGAATAAATCTACGCTAAATAGTTGCTAGTTTTAGTAAGTTTTCTTATATGAATCACAATTTTTTTGGGTACCTTTCTCCAAATATTATACTTTCTAATTTTTTTATGATGAGTAAGATCTGATACTTTGGTACCTTTCTCTAATAATTAATATACTAAGCATACCGTCTTTATTTTTTATGATCATTAAGGTCTGATTCCTTCTTTGTACCTGTAGCCGGTCACAGTGCATCATGAACATTCGCGATGTTCCTAAAAAAGGTAAAGGAGTGGCCAATTCTAAGTCAAACAATGCTGTTTTGACTATCATTGACCTTGCTGGAGCTGAAAGAGAAAAAAGAACAGGAAATCAGGTTTTCATTCCTTTTTTTCATTATGATACTATCAAACTTGGTTTGAGCATTGTGATGTGTTGAACTTTAGGATGCACTATGTGATAAAAAGTAATCTCTCAATTCTAGGAGAATTGTGCGCAAAATTTTGATACATGGCAGGGTCATCATTTCTTAATTTCATAAACAAGACCGATTACACTTCTAATGGGGTCGATGATCCATGCAGTGGACCCACCTAAAGGAATAATATTTGGCTGTTATTTTAAATCATCTACTTTTACCCATATTTCAATTTTTCTGTGATGTTCTAGGGGACAAGATTGGTTGAAAGCAATTTTATCAACAACACGTTGATGGTGTTTGGCTTATGTTTAAGAGTATGTAGGCCACACTTCAAATTATGAATTCAAGTCATAATGCCTTTGATTACTAGAACTAAGTTGCTTACATTGCATTCGAAGTTTTAGAATTGTTTGATTTTTTTTCTTCTCTTGTTCAGTTCAGTTCCACCCTAACCTTCCATAGATAGTTCTTATTTTGTGTGTGCTGTTAATTTTTTTTCAGTCTTTATTGGAGCACCAAAAAAATCCCAAGAAACAATTGCAGAAGCACTTCCAAAATTCTATGGTATTGGTTTTACTAATTATATTTTGTTGCTGGGTTGCGTTTGTCTTCTTTGTTACTATCTCTTATAAGTCAACATTCTAATTTGTTTTATCATAATATTTCTCTTTTGGATGATAAATTTTAAGTTTGTAATGGGAAAGGGTTAGAAGTTTAACTCTGTCTACTACTATTGCAGTTAACAAGGTATCTGCGGGATTATTTGGAGGGCAAGAAGCGCATGACCTTGGTATGTAGATACTACTTTTCCATATGGGGGTTTTCTTTTTCATGAACTTTCTGATATATATTTGAGTTTATCTTTCCAAATATATTAATCTTGCCAATTCCTCCTAATATTAACTTTACTTTTTAATTCTGTTTGCAGCTTTTAACAGCAAAGTCAGGAGAGGATGATTATCTCGATACTTCCCACCTACTTAGACAAGCTTCTCCTTACATGCAAATCAAGTAAAATTCTTCATTTTCATCTTCACATAATCTAACTTGAATTCCATATTTATCCTAGATTGATTTCTAAGTGTCTCTGTTCATTCTTGTTAGGTATAATGAAGTTGAACCATCAATAAATATGGTTCCCAAAAAAAGGAATCACCAAGCTTCTTCCATAATTGATAGTGCAAAACAATCACCTTCATTAGATCATTTAAAGAGAATGAAATTCGTTGGTGAACACACTGTGCAGGTTCACTTTCACTTCCTATCATGTTTTTAGTCACAATTTTTCATTTAAATATTTCATATATGAATTGCTGTATGACCATATAGCATTAATATTCTTTATATTGCTGATGGATGTAATATTGGCTTGCATCTGATTACTCTTAGCATAAGCTATTTGCTGTTTGAGCAAGTAGTGAGCTCTTATAAACTTATAAGGACATTTCTATTTAAACTTTGAAAAATAAAGATGTCTTCTTAGTAATTAGAAAAACAAGTAATCCGTTTATTTTGGAAATGAGAAATTTAAGATTTGACAACATAACGTTGCTGAAAAGTTAGAGATACATCTTTTCTTTGAATTTGACAAATTAAAAGCTATGGTGCGTTTAGAAGCTTAACTGAAAGTAAATTGTAATTCGTTCATAGCATGGCGTTATCTTCATGGATTGTTGATATTTAATAATTTGACAGTAAGGTTTTACTCTTGGAAATTTTAACTTTACAAATTGGCCATCTTCATATTAGGGCGTGTTTGGATTGGTGGTGGACAAAATTAATTATAGCAGAATTGAGTTTGATAGAATTGATTCTAGCAGAATTGAGTTTAGTAGAATTGATTTATGTTTGGATACATTTATGTAAAAGTGAGTTGAACAATAAATTTCAGTGTAAAAATCATACATAATCAATTTTGGAGGCAGAAGCTACAAATTATAGCTTCAACTAGAATCAATTCTGGAGACAGAATCAATTCTACTTTTGCCTAACCAAACATTTCAAAATAACCCATAATCAATTCTACACTTTTAGAATTGCTTTTGGCCCTTCCAAAAGCCAAACCAAACATGCACTTAATTTGTATGACAATTATTTAGCATGTACCATTTGGTAAATCCCTAACCGTTACTTTCTTTTTCTTCAGAAGGCTGAAAAAGGCGTTGAAGAATGTAACACTTTGAAGAAAGGTAATTTTGGACATTTAAATATTGTATTAAACTTATTTGTTCCGTTTATTTTTTGCTATCTTGACTATGATTTTATGACAGATACTTCAACAGTGTCTAAATTCGATGCTAGCAGTACTGACCCTGAAAAGGGTGTTGAAGAATGTAACACTTCGAAAAAAGGTAGTTTTGGACATTTAAAAATTGTGTTAAACTTATTTGTTCTGTTTATTTTCTGCTATCTTGACTATGATTTTATGACAGATACTTCAACAGTGTCTAAATTCGATGCTAGCAGTTCTGTCCCTGAAAAGGGTATTGAAGAATGTAACACTTCGAAGAAAGGTAATTTTGGACATTTAAAATTTGTGTTAAACTTGTTTGTTCTGTTTTTTTTTTCTGCTATCTTGACTATGATTTTATGACAGATACTTCAACAGTGTCTAAATTCGATGCTAGCAGTACTGACCCTGAAAAGGGTGTCGAAGAATGTAACACTTCGAAGAAAGGTAGTTTTGGACATTTAAAAATTGTGTTAAACTTATTTGTTCTGTTTATTTTCTGCTATCTTGACTATGATTTTATGACAGATACTTCAACAGTGTCTAAATTCGATGCTAGCAGTTCTGTCCCTGAAAAGGGTATTGAAGAATGTAACACTTCGAAGAAAGGTAATTTTGGACATTTAAAATTTGTGTTAAACTTGTTTGTTCTGTTTTTTTTTCCTGCTATCTTGACTATGATTTTATGACAGATACTTCAACAGTGTCTAAATTCGATGCTAGCAGTTCTGTCCCTTTGAAGTCAGAGTGCGATAGCCATGTCGGAAGCGAGAGAAGTCACATTATAATGACAAATTTTGCAAGAGTTATATGGAATGTATTGAAGCAATACAATTCCAAATTTAAGGTAATACTGTTTGCCATCAATAACTATTTTCAAGATAGTTTATTTTTTTCTCATTCGTTATGGTTCTTCATACAATGATGTCCATACATGATCAAACTATAGGCATATTATATTCACATTTTTTTTTTTCATAATCAGGTTGCGGAAAGGGAAATACTCAGTCTCAAAGAAAGCATAGGATATGAAAAGAAAAGAAATCTAGAGTTACAAACGCAGCTGAATGCCTTCAGGGCTGCCTGTACTTGTTGCAAAGGAGGAAATGAAAAAACCAATATTGAAGATGGTTCATTAGTTGATCTTGATCACTTGCATGATTTGGACCAACAGGTTGAGTATTGCACTCTTATATTCATGTTTTCTTGTCTAAAGGTCATTGATGATTCAGTTAAGGCAATTTAAATGCTCATTAATCTTTGAACTTATTAGTTGGCCAACCTGTACACTAACTCCTACTTTCGTCTTAGTTATAATTACTGCTTGAATTTCGTTTTGATGTTCTGTTATCAGGTAAATATATTCTTAAATAGATTAAAGTAAATGTTGTGTTACTAGAGGCATTTCGTTTAATGTGTGAGCTGACACATTTGTCCTGCGTGCTTTCGTTTTAATGTACTGAAGTACTAAGTGAAATGTTCCCCAACTACTTGATTTGTCAAAATGTAGACAGTCTTCAGATTCCAATATTATTGTTATTTTCTTGTCCATTCTTTCCAGGAAACCTTTGAGGCAGAGTCATCATCTGAGCCTAGAATTGACCTGTCAGATGAAGAGCGTATACTGGGTACTACTAGTACAAAGTTAGATTCTAAAAAATCAGAAAGGTTAGTCTTGTGAGTAATCATATTACCCATGTTATTTTTCAGTTTTTTTTTTTTTTTGCTTCAAACTGAATATGACTGTTCCTTAATTTCTTCTTGGTGTAATAATATAGGAAAGTTTCAGTCTCCCTGTCAAAGTCAGGGCATCGTAATGCTTTGGAGGCCGATGATGAGAGCAAGGTACATAGTGTGATTTGACTTTCCATACGCTGATAAATGGATCAATTTTCTTGAACTTTTATTTTTAGTTAATTGTACGAGAGACTGTGCCCCCAATTGACTTCAGCCGATTAAACTAAGCTTTAGAGTGAGCCGATATAAATGTACATTTTTGCATATTTATGCAAAATCGTTCGAGCAATAGTTTTTTTTCCAAAATATATGGGAGTTTTCTTATTGCAAATATTGCTATGTATTTATCTTATGTGGTCATCCATTCCTTTCAGGATACATTTCATGCACAACCTTCTTCTGAGCCTATACTTAATGTGTCCAATGAAGAGACTATTGTTTTTTCTGAGCCTATACTTAATGTGTTCAATGAAGAGCCTATTGTTTCTTCCCACACACAGTTAGATTCTGAAAAATCAGATAGGTTAGTCTTATGACTAGTGATCTTCCACTTGTGATTCCTGCTGTTTTATTTATTTTTGGTTTGGACCATTATGCTTGTTCCTCAATTCTTGCTTGGTGTGGTAATACAGGGAAGTCTCTGTTTCATGGTCCATGCCTGAGTGTCATAATGATTTGGAAGTAGATGCTATGTGCATGATATCTAGCGTAAGTTGACTTTTAATTTGCTAATAAACGAATCATTCTGCTTGTACTTTACTTATTTCATTAAGGAGAGAATGTTCTATGATTGAGTTCTGATCTTGCTAGTAAAGGAGTGAATGTTATTGCTGAATTTTGGGGTCCAAAATCTTGATAGCTTATAAATTTTGACCTTCATTAGATTATCTAAATTATCATTCTAGTTGAGGCATCCCATCTAATGTGTGCACTGACATATTTTGCATGTGTTTTGTGCTCATTTATAAGAAATGGTTAACCAACTTGTTTGTCCTTAAAAATGTATTGAACTTCTAGTTGCAATATTATTACTTATATTGTCTGGCTATCCATTATTTCCAGGAATTTAATGTGGAGTCATCATCTGAGCTGAGACTTGATCAGTCAGATGCCGAGCTTAAGCTTTGTTCTACATGTTCAGAGCTGGATTATGAAAAATCAGACAGGTCTTGTGATTACTGATCTTCCACTTGTGATTCCGGTTTATTTTTGGCTTAAAATTCATATTCTCTCTGTAATTCTTTGCTTGATGTGATAATACAGGAAACTCTCCGTCTCATTGTCAAAGTCAGGGCATCATAATGCTTTGGAGGTTGATGCTATGGACAAGATGCCTTGTGTGAGTTAACTTTCCATTATCCTTAACTGTACTATGTTGCTGATTGAGAACAAATTAAGCATTCAATCAATTTAGCATTCAATGTGTTTGTTGTAATTACATTATTAATACAAGTGAGGTGTGCTGTTTTAGACAATTACAAATTCCACAAATGAATCAATCTAATTGAATTTTATTTATTAGTCCGTTGAGGGGAGATTGCTGGTTAATTGAGTTCCTATCATGCGTATTCAAATATAAGTTAAGCTTGAGAGCACTTAATTGACAAAGTCGGTGTGATATAAAATTAATTGAACTAGTGGCAATTAGTTATTGCTGGGTTTTGGGGTTTAATTTTTTGATGGCATGTAAATTTTGGTCTCAATAGGTTAATAAAACTGTTATACTAGTTTACACATTCCATCTAATATCTGAGTTGACACGATTGTTCTTCAAAATGTGGTATCCAATTTACATATTATTTGCTTGCCCATTTTTTCCAGGAAATATTTAATTCAGAGTCATCACCTGAGCCGCCTAATGAAGAACATATGCTTGGTTCTACCTGCACGGTGTTGGAACCTGAAAATTCAGATAGGTTAGATTTGTGACTAAGTGTCCCCCACATGATCCCTGCTCTTTTTTTATTTGGACTTTTGGTATGTTTTGCTTGTTCCTTAATTCATGTTTGGTGTGATAATTCAGGGAAGTCTCAGGATCATTATCAAACTCAGGAATTCACGAGGCTTTTGAAGTTAATGCTGTGAGGACCGTACCTAATGTAAGTGGACTTTCAATATCAATCTGCTTAGACTTTCTTTATTGCTTCATTAAAGGAGAAATTGGACAATAATCAAGTTCCGATCTTGTTCAATTATAAACTAAGCTTGAGGGCAGGTGTGCATTTAATTTGCAGTTTTATATCATGAAAGTTAATTAAAGTGGTTGCCTTCTGAGTTGACCTTAACCCGATAAATGTTACTCCCTTCGTCACAAAATAAATGTCACATCTAGAAAAAAAAATTGCCCCAAAATACTTGTTACTTTATATTACCAATGTAATTTTATATTTAATCTTCCAATTCTACCCTATAATAAATACTCTCAATTTACTTTTTTCTCACTCAACATTAATACTAATTTGAATACACCAATAGTTAAGCAGGATAATTTGGTAAAGTCACTGGTCTCTCTCTTTCATTTATTACTTTCATTTATTACTTTCATTTATTACTGTTTCTTAATCTGTGGAAAATAATCAACTACGACAAATAATATGGGATGGAAGGAGTAATAGCTAACCTGTTTCTCGAATTCCTATTCTCCTTTGACATATACTTATTGCTGGGTTTCAAAGTTTAATGTCATGATTGCATGTAAAATTTGTCTTCAATTCAATAGATAAATAAAACTATTATGCTAGTCGAGGCATCCCATCTAATGTCTGAACTGCCATAATCTTGTTTTTCTGTGCTTTCATGAGAAATGGCTTCAACAGTTTGTGAACAGAACAAATATGTGTTAGGTATTTGATTAGTTTTTTCTTTAAGTGCATGTGAACAGAACATTTCATGTGTTAGGTATTTGATTTTCCACTCTTTTCAGGAAATGTTGAATGCAGAGTCACCATCTAAGCCTAGAATTGACCAGTTGGGTGAAGAACATACGCTTGATTCTACCTGTACGAAGTTAGATTCTGAAATACCAGATAGGTTAGTCCTGTAACTAATAATCTTTTACATGTTATTATTAATTATTATTATTATTATTATTATTATTATTATTATTCATTTTCTTGGCTTTGAACGAATATGTTTGTTGCTTACTTCCCGCTTGAAATAATAATGTAGGGAAGTCACAGTCTCTTCATCAAAGCCTGGGCATGATAATTCTTTGGAGGTTGACGTTGTGAGTTGACTTTCCATCTGCTTTAACATATTACTTCGTTCTATACTCCTACTTTGTTCTATGAAGGATAAATTATGAGCAGAACATTTCATTATATATATATATATATATATATATATATAGGGGACATATCAAGTGAGAAAGGGGTCCCTTATATGAGAGTGAGAGGAGTAATTATAAGCCATTGGATCAAAATTTATGACTAAGATTAGGAGAGAGAAGAAAGAGTAAAAAAAAGTTAACGTAATAAATGAGGAGAGAGAAGTAAGATTTAGAAGAAAAAAAATAACTTCATCAATGAATCTCAACCATCCAATGTAATCTAAAGGCTAAAAAGAAACCCTCTCACTCTCACATAAGAAAGACTTTCTCATGAGATATGGTATATATATATATATATATATATATATATATATATATATATATATATATATATATATATGTGTGTGTGTGTGTGTGTGTTACGTATTTGATTTTCCGTTCTTTTCAGGAAACATTAAATGCCGAGTCACCATCTAACCCTAGAATTGACCAGTTGGATGAAGAACATATGCTTGATTCTACCTGTACGAAGTTAAACTCTGAAATACCAGATAGGTTTGTCTTGTAACTAATAATATTCTGCATGTTATTGTTGTTATTATTATTATTATTATTATTTATTATTATCATTATTATTATTTATTATTATTATCATTATTATTTATTTTTATTATTATTATATTATTATTATTATTATTATTATTATTATTATTATTATTATTATTATTATTATTATTATTATTATTATTATTTATTTTTCTTGGCTTTGAACAAATATGTCTGTTGCTTACTTCCGGTTTGAAATAATAATGTAGGGAAGTCTCAGTCTCTTCACCAAAGCATGGGCATCATGATTCTTTGGGGGTTGATGCTGTGAGTTTACTTTCCATCTGCTTTAACATATTACTTTGTTCTTTGAAGGATAAATTCTAGTTGAATTCAAATCTTTGAAAGTTAGTACTTAGTAACAAACTAAGTTTGAGAGTAAGCGTCCATAAATTCAACTATAATTTTCTTTTTATGTGCTTTCATGAGAAATGACTTACCAACTAGTTTTTCCTTTAAGTGTACGTGAGCAGAACATTGCATTATATATGTGTGTGTTAGGTATTTGATTTTCCATTCTTTTCAGGAAACTTTAAATGCAGAGTCACCATCTAAGCCTAGAATTGACCAGTTTGGTGAAGAACATATGCTTGGTTCTACTTGTACGAAGTTAGACTCTGAAATACTAGATAGGTTAGTCTTGTAACTAATAATTTTCTGAATATTATTATTATTATTATTATTATTATTATTATTATTATTATTATTATTATTATTATTATTATTGTTGTTGTTATTATTGTGTTATTATTATTATTATTATTATTATTATTATTATTATTATTATTATTATTATTATTGTTGTTATTATTGTTATTATTATTGTTGTTATTATTATTATTATTATTATTATTATTATTATTATTATTATTATTATTATTATTATTATTATTGTTGTTATTATTGTGTTATTATTGTTGTTGTTATTGTTGTTATTATTGTTGTTATTATTATTATTATTATTATTATTGTTGTTGTTGTTGTTATTGTTATTATTGTTGTTATTGTTGTTATTATTATTGTTGTTGTTATTGTTATTATTGTTGTTATTGTTGTTATTATTATTGTTGTTGTTATTGTTATTATTGTTGTTATTATTGTTATTATTGTTTATTTTTCTTGGCTTTGAACAAATATATCTGTTGCTTACTCCCCCTTGGAATAATAATATAGGGAAGTCACAGTCTCTTCACCAAAGCCTGAGCATGATAATTCTTTGGAGGTTGACGCTGTGAGTTGGCTTTCCCTCTGCTTTAACATATTACTTTGTTCTTTGAAGGATAAGTTGTAGTTGGATTCAAATCTTTGTGTGTTAGTACTTTGTAATAAACTAAGTTTGATAGTAAGCGTCCATAAATTCAACTATAATTTTCTTTTTATGTGCTTTCATGAGAAATGACTTACCAACTAGTTTTTCCTTTAAGTGTACGTGAGCAGAACATTGCATTATATATATGTGTGTGTTAGGTATTTGATTTTCCATTCTTTTCAGGAAACTTTAAATGCAGAGTCACCATCTAAGCCTAGAATTGACCAGTTCGGTGAAGAACATATGCTTGGTTCTACCTGTACGAAGTTAGACTCTGAAATACTAGATAGGTTAGTCTTGTAACTAATAATCTTCTGAATGTTATTATTACTATTATTTATTTTTCCTGGCTTTGAACAAAAAATTTTGTTGCTTACTTCCCGCTTGGAATAATAATGTAGGGAAGTTACAGTCTCTTCACCAAAGCCTGAGCATGATAATTCTTTGGAGGTTGATGCTGTGAGTTGGCTTTCCCTCTGCTTTAACATATTACTTTGTTCTTTGAAGGATAACTTGTAGTTGAATTCAAATCTTTGAGTTAGTACTTAGTAATAAATTAAGTTTGAGAGTAAGAGTCCATTTATTTAGTTGAAGAAGTCTGATTGAAATGAAATAAATTCAATTATTAACTTTTGGTAAGTTAAGTTAGCATGAACCTCTTAACTGGCTCACCTGTTTCATTATCTCTTGCTCTCGTTGTACATATAGTTATTTCTGGTTTCTGGGTTTAGTAGCTTGTTAATCAATTAAAACAAAAACTGTTATGCTACATGAGGCATTCAATCTAACGTGGGAAGTGGCATGATTAAGTTCATCAACTAGTCTGTTCTTCAAAAAGCCTCAGACTGTTAAATTTTTTTTTTGAACCATTCAGATTGTTAATTATATGTTTCCTTATTTGGTCATCCATTCATTCCAGGAAACATTTCAACCACAGACATCATCTGAGCCTATGACTGGTCCTGGCAGACAGTTAGATACAGATAAATCAAATAGTTTAGTCTTGTGAGTAATACTTCTTGAGCGTGATTCATACTCTGTTTTTCTTAGTTTTTATTACTTAAGGCTGTGTTCCTTATTTCCTGCTTGGTGTAATACATTAGGGATATTTCGGGCTCCTCGTCAAAACCAGGGGATCAAAAGGATTTGGTAGTTGAAACTAAGAGCAAGATACCGAGTGTGAGTAGACTTTCCATTTGCTAATATATACACATACTGTTTTTTGCATCCTTATAATTTATATTCAGATAGTTAACATGTTTAATTTTATGCCATTGGAAAAGCTCTAGCCCATCTTTACCTTTTACTTAACTTTAACGGGCAACTATGGGTCATTGGGATGGGGAAAGCTGAGAATGGATTCTGTCTTGGAGAAAAAAAATTGGTTGTTTGGGAGACCGAGTTGGCGGAGAAGCTTTGGACTATTATTAGAGGGTTCACTATCACTATCGCTGATGACTGTTGGTCTTGGATTCATGATTCTAAAAACCGGTATTCTGGATCGAATCCTCCTGGCTAGAAATCAAACAACCCCAAACCTCTCGGGTGATCTTCTGAGGGATTTCTCCCTTGATTGGAAGAATTGGGCCCTTCTCAAAAGTTAGATCGCTCTCCTGGAAGCTCCTTTTAGATAGATTTCTGACTCGTGATAACCTGTTTAGAAGGAGAGTTATACAGGATCCTCAAAACTTGAAGTGTGTGTTTTGTGGGGAGGAGCGAGAGACCCTGCCACACTTGTTTTTAAGTTGAAATTTCACGTCTTATGTCTGATACGACTATATGAGTGTGTATATGTGTCTTTCATTTAACATCCCTTGGTCTAGAGAATTCTTGATATATCAAAAAATTCGAAATACTACATCCCAATGGTCAACACAGAGATTTGTATGGACTGACTCGCTACACTGATTGCAAAGGTAATACGTGTCTTGTCTACTTATAGGAAGATAGTTGAATTTCTCAACTAACCCCGTGTATCTATGTTGATCTGAAAAGGCCCTATCTGATATGGAAATAGTTTACTTTTTGGAATTGTGAAGGTTGGTAGGTTTAAAATTAGTTGTTCAAATATGCTGATAATTGATTGCCATCTTTTTCTAGAAGCTAAGTTGTTAACAGAAGGTTCAAGAACCTTTTAATAAACTTTTAATAACGTGAATGAAAAGTAAGTTTGTGAAATCCTTCTATCCATCTGCTTAGTGCTTCACAGAATAATTACTGTTCATGTTACCATGCTAAGCTTACAGGAAGTTGGTTTCTGCTTTCCTCATTCATCTTGTTAACTCACCTTTCAGGAATTGTTAGATTCTTCGCTATCAACAAGAAATGACAATTTGGATCCTTCATTGCCTAAAGATGTCTCATCTACTAAAACCCAGAGTGATAAAGGAGTCAAAAACTCTGCCAGCAAGCCTCCTAGGTCGAAAAGGTGGGTGGTTTATTTTTTGTAAAAGAGTAATGAAGTGATGCTTTTCCGTCCATACTTACCAGTTACGGTTTTTATGTATATGTTGAAATCAGGACACTTATGCCTTCCTCATCCTTGTTATCAAGAAACTTGAGCACCTTTGATCTTTTTGACGAATCCGAGAAATCAAAGGTACTAAATAATGTTTTTTTTTTAAATTTTGGATCAGTGATCTGCACAGTACATTTGCTTTACGAAATTGAATATTGTCGCTTCAAAAGAAAAACAAATTATGTTAAATGTTAACCGTATCTATCTGGTTTTACAGGAGAACAGGGGCACAAGGAAGTTAGGTGCACGCGATGATCCTAAAAGATCAAATGGAAGTATTTCTCTGCTCCACATGCTCCAAGGTAGAAAAGGAAATATTCGTCACTAGGGTAGCCACCAAAACCTCTTTGTAGAAAATGCAAAAATCCTATGCGTGGGACAAGGGATAGTCTTGACTTTGGTTATTTGAACTAAATACTCACTGCAAACAATTGCTTACTTATTTGTAAGTAATGCTGCAGTTGTAGTGGCATAGCAGAAATAACTTTAGTTTTTTGAATTAATTAGTTACTGCTGACATGTAACTTGTTCCCTTATATGCAAGTAATTCTGCATTTTTACCCTTATATGCAAGTAATTCTGCATTTTTACCCTTATATGCAAGTAATTCTGCATTTTTAGTGGCATAGCAGAAAGTGTTACAACTGTACACGACCTCGTAACCTAGAGAAAAGAAATCCCACACTATTGGTTTCAATATAATTAGGAGGATTTAACGTGACACCCTCCAAATTAAACATGACATCTCCCAATTTTAGTTATTCTAGAATTATTTTTGCTGAGAAACAAACAATTTTCAGTATAAGGTTTGAAATTTTTGATACAGGTAAAATTTTTCGTACATCCCTATGAAATTTCTGGCTAATGTAAATTTTCAGTAGTGTATTTGAAATTTTTGGTATTCTATAAATTTCAAATTTACTAGGCAGTATTGAAAATTTAAGTTATACTAAATTTTTTGATAGTTCATTTATTCAAGTTTTTTAACGGTCAAGATTTTGTCGACATCTTTGGAGGGTTATGATTGCACTGACAAATTTGTGTGATTTAGAATACACCTTCATTTGTATAAATAGGGGCATATGTTATAGATAAAAATATTTCAAAAAATGTCTTTTCCTCAATTTTTGATTATGGTAGAAGTATATTACAACGGAAGCAACTCTGCTGTTGAATTCAAGCATTTAGATGACAACACATCCCTTGTTACCTTGAAAGAAACGTTGAATGCATTGCTTCCTGATTCCGACAGAGAAGTTTTTAGGACTATTATATTGATACAAATGGTTGGGTGAAATACAACCCGATTGAGTTGAAGATCGATGAAGATGTGAAGGTCATGTGGAAAATATTTTGCCGTAGGATAACTAAAGGTCTGACATAGTTGGATGCGGAGATTCGAAGATCCGTCGACGTCATAATCAAGATGTTAGAACATCCAGAATCATTCGGTAGTGCCTAGGTTTTTCATGCTTAGTTGATTTTAGTTTTTGTTGTACTATTTTATGTTATTTTCATCATCGATTCGAAACATGTAATTGTCAAAATATAATGAATAATAAGTCTGTGTGTCACTATATATATATATATATATATATATATATATATATATATATATATATATATATATATATATATATATATATATATATATATATATATATATATATATATATATATATATATATATATATATATATATATATATATAATACAACCAAACCCTCCACGGGCTACGCCGCCTAACCTAGCTAAATCTGTATAAATCTCACCGTCAGGGTTTACTAAACCCACGAGGTTATCTAAATGAACTACAATAAATCGTAGGCGACTATCCTAATCACCTACAGGTGGTGGAGGTGGTGGTGGCGACTCAGCAGAAACCCTAGCACGTGAAGGCCCCAAAATATTAGATGTTGCAGTCGCTGGTATGATCCTATGGTGTGATACACTCAGATACCACTTAAGGCATCCATCCTCGTTCTGTGAAAGATGATGAACCACAACTGATCTATCCCTAATCTCACGGGTAGGGTAGAGCTGATGATGTGACTCTGAAACCATCTGTCAATGCCACCAGTTGGAGCCTCGGGAACTGGACGAGAGATTCACTAAATATAACCATATCCTCGTAGATACCTCTCAGGTAAGTGTCTAGTCACATGGTTCTTCCACCTAAGAAGTCCTGAATACAAAGAAGCGTCGTCAAATGCACGATGAGGTCGGTGAGATGTAATTGATGTTCAAAACGACATCCTCTACGGTCAGAGCGTCAAGACTCCTCTGGTACTCCATCAAATCCCTTGGAAGGGCTTGCTTGCCCTTCCATCTCCTCGCACATGGTACAGTAATCGAGACATGCTAGATCACTCGGTCACATATGTGGGGGAAGTGCTCGTATATCCAACACTGCATAAATAAAACACAATCAAATAAATACACTCAAATAAATAATAAAAACCATCAAATAAATTATAGTATACCTATAAAAGGCTAAGGTAATCACCCAACTGTCTGGTCTCAGGCTGAGTAGCAACTCCAAGTGTCGTGTACAACATGATCAACGCTGCGACTCCCCAAGCCCAACAAGGAGTGTCAAGGGTGCTGAACAGAGACATGTAACGAACATCAGTGTAAACTCCAGACTAGTCTGCAAAGAGAGTACATGCCAATAATTGTAGCATGTATGCCCTAGCGTCAACCTGGTACCTTTGGGCCTCCACACACTCCCCGTACCTCTTCTTAAGCCAAAACATCCGAAGATGATATCCCGTGTTAACGTCAAACTCTGCTAGAACCATCACCTCAGATACCTGCAAATCATCCACAACCATGCGCACCGCCGTCACATGGTTAATATGAGGAGGTGTGAAGAATGTACCAGCGATCATGATATGAAATAGGGCGTCGACATCATCCAATGTGACCGTCATCTCCCCAAATGAAAGATGAAAGGATGATGTCTCTGGGTGTCACCTCTTAACAAAAGCAGACAACAAGGAGGCGTTCAACATGGTCAAGGAGCACTGAGCGAACTTGAGCAGCTGAAAATCTCTAACAATACTACTGACTTTGTAACATCCCGATTTTCTTTATTAATTATTTTAATATTTAAATGTCATGTTAATTATTATTTGATTTGGTAATTATTTAATTATTTGATTTTGTGTGATTATGTGAATAATTGATTTAATTGGAATAAGTGTGTATTATATGTTATTGGGTTATTGAGTGTGAGAATAGTAAAATGCACATTTGAGTCTTATGTTTTATTAGAGTGAGTGAGTGAAGTTAAGCCCATTTAGAGTTAGTAAGAGTTGAACAAAATAAGAAAAATATATAATTAGAAAGAGAAAGTGAAGAAAACAAGAGAAGAGAAGAAAGAGTAAAAAAAGGAGAAAATGAGAAGAAAAGAGGATATAACTCTAGACTATCTACATCTAAGGTAAGAGTGAGTAATTTTCTTATTATGGGATTATATAAAAGTATGTAATGGGTAGTAACACGATTTAGGGATTGTGTTCTTCAATTTCTAGATTTTAACAAGTTAGGGTTTGAGTGAAATCCATAAAATTGATGGTTGAAACATGTTTTGATGTTTATGATGGAAACTATATGTTAGATATATGTTTAAATATGTTTAATTGGTGAAAAATATGAGTTTGAATGGGTTTTTGGAGTCAAAACTCAGACTGGTGCGCTGCTGACTTCACAGATTTTTCTGCAGAAATCACAGAGCACACTTAACGCGAATTCCCACGCTTAGCGCGAAACTCACTGACTTGGAGGGAACTTAGCGTCAAAGAGCATGCTTAGCGTGACCTACAATGTACAATTTTGTATTTTGTTTAAATGATTGGGATCTTGTATGCTTATGATTTATAAGGGATTTCCATGAATTTTAATAATTTAATTGACCTGTTTTGAATTGGTTTTGGATGACTTGTTGATGAAAATATAACACTTGAATTTTGTGTATATGTATGTTGTGAATTGATGATGAATGAGAATAATATGTTTTGGCATTGTTTGCTATGTGTTATTATGGTGCGTTGAGTGGATGAATGCTATGAGGATGCATTGTATGTGACGATGACATGATTGATGTATGTTGTGCAATTCGGTGAAGATAATTAAAATATGTTGAATTATGTGAAAGATGATTATATGATTAAGATATGAAAATGATCTTAATTGCATATGATTGTTGAGATTGCACATGCACCATTTGTGTCAAGAGGCAACATTTGATAATTTCCTGGGAATTATTGACTTGTCCCAAACCTTGGAGATGAGTTTGAAGCCTATGGGACAAGCTTATTTTTGGTGGTTATTTGTCTTGAAGATGGACCCGCAGGACCGGTAAGGATAACAATTGGTACCACATGCATATTGCATTGAGTTGCATTTGAGTAATATATGTCGATTTGAAATGTGAATTGGTATGAAATGTGATATTAATGTGAATGTTACATTTGTGATTGATTATCTTTAAATCATGAATTATTGAGTAATGTTGTATATTTGAATACATGAATTGTGTCAGATATGTTGAATGCATGATTATGTGAAGCTTGATGAATTCAATTGATGTATGTTTGTTATGCATTACTTATTATTATATATTTCTATATGATGTGAATTATCACCCTTCTGTTGAAATGATGTTTTATACGACATCGCCTAGGTACCGAAGATAATGGTGCTTCTCGTGAGGATTAGTCGGAGGATCTAGTTTTTGTTTATCTACTTATTTAGGTAGTGAGTCATGCTCTGGTCTATGTAACACGAGGAACATTTGAATTCATGTTTGTTTTGAGTGATGTTTGTTATACTCTCTTTTATTTATGTTGTATTGAGACTATGTGATGAGTGGTCTTTAGTGCCTGATGTTTTATGATATGATTGTTAGTATGAGATTTCAATCATTAATATTACTATGACAAATAATTATTCCGCTATGATATGCATATGTGTATGGAACATGATTTTATATGCGTGTTATGAGCATGACCGATGTATTTTTGTTGGATTTGATATACATGTGACACCCTCTTTTGATACGCATGATTAATTTTACTCTGATTATGCCATGTATTTATGCGGAGTTTAGAGGGTGTTACATTAGTGGTATCAGAGCATGGTCGGTCAGTTGGCCAGGTTATTAATATGTTTATTTCCTTTTTGTATTCGATATATGTCATATACACAATCGGTACTATTTTTCTGATGAGTGTTATTGGTTGTTGGTATATTGGAGTTTTAAGATAATGGTTGCAGGAAGAAATGATGATTTTATTGCTGAGGCATTTGGCAATGTTGGCCGGT